AGGGCAAGGTGGGGCAGTTGCTGGCCCAGCTGATTCTAGTGCAAAACCCAAGCCGGGTGCTGAGGAGGGTATGGGAGCTCGGGCACTTTCCAGGTGGTGACTGGCACCGTTCCCCAGGGCCAGACCCAGAGGAGGGCAGTGTGGAGAAGGCCCCATCCCTTCCCACCAGCAGACCTGGGCGGACACGGTGGAGGGTGCCATGGCGCCACACTCTTGGCCCGCTCACTCGAAGGTCTCCCACTGCCTCCGGAGCTGTTCCACTGAGCTGGGGGCTGGGACCGGGCTCATGTCTTGCTTGGTTTTCTGTAACAAATCCTCAAAGGGGTCTCTAGCCTGTGGAGGAGCAGAGGGCTGCAGCGCTGGCTCCAGGCCCTGTGGGGGTCTGGGAGGCAGGAGTGGGGGGTCTCCCGGCCTCAGGGTCAGCCCCTGCTTGGCCTCAGCAGCCCTGGCACTTGAACGGGGTAGGGGCAATGTTCGGATCCTCGATGGGGTGACTAAGGGGGGTCCCAGCGGCTGCAGGGGGCTGGTGTGGGTGCCCATAGGTACCTGGCGAAAGAGGTTGGGCATGGAGAGGGCAGACAGGTTGGGCTGAGATCTGTGAGGGGCACAGAAGCCAGAACTTGACAGGAGGAGGCTGGGTGCAAAAGCTGGCCCCAGGGAAGCTGGAGGGGCCCCAAAAGGCCCAGCTGGTGTGGAGCCCAGAGGCAGGGCAGGGGGTGCTACTGGCACAGATGGGACAAAAGGGTTGAGTGGTGGCTGTGGGAAGGGGGCAGGGGTCCCTGCGGTGGGGAAGCTGAACTGGGGGGTAAATGGGGTGGCCGCATTTGGGGCGGCAGGGTAGAGCGAGATGGTGTTGCCTGACCAGGCTGTGTTAAGTGGGTCTAGCAGGGCAAGCAGGGCATCGCTGCTTGTGCCTGCAGCTGCTGGGGCTGGGCTGAGTGGCTGCAGCAGTTCCGGGGGACCTTGGGGGGCTACCCTGGGGAGGAGCCCTGGGAACAGGTTGGGGCTCAGAGCAGCTTGCCTTTCCTGATCCCTAGAGAAGTCCCCGAGTGTGCCGCTGGCAGCCGGGAGCTTGGCCGGCCGGGCGGTGGGTGGCGGAGGTACAATGCCCAGCTCTGGCGTCTTCCGGCCCTGTGGCCGGGGGATGGTGATGCTGCCCAGAGTTGGGGTGGGAGCCTCCTCCTTGTTGCAGGGGTTCAGGATGCTGTCCCGGGCCTGGGGCCTGCGAGGCAGGCTCGGGGAGTTCCCCAGCAGGGTCGAGGGCTTCTCCAGAGAGGTGGCGGGGGTGTTGCTGGGGATGGCCATATCGTCCTGACCCAGGCTCCAGAGCTTGTTGTATGGGTGGGCAAGCTTCAAGGCCACTGTCACCCCGAGGCTCCTCTCACTCCTGCCCAGGTCCAGCCTCTGTTGAAAAGGAAGGAGGGAGGTGGTGACCATGGGCTGATGATCAGGTCAGATGGGTGGAAGTTTGGGCCACTGCTGCTCCCTCCTGGATACCGGGGGGACTGGGCACATGGCCAGTTAGCTCCTAGCACTTGGAACAGACTGGCACTCACTCCAGGTCACGAGCTAAGAACCCCAGTCTTCTGGGCTCTGGACCCTGGCCTATTGTGTGCCACGGGGGATTCGAGAGGACGTTCTTGTCCTTTTGCACTAGTGATCATCACACCACATCGTTTTAGAAAGAAGACACTCATCTTCTGCCCTTCCCCTGTTCTGACCTTTTTTGCTTTTCAGAGCATATGGCACCTTCAGTCACACCCAGGTGGACATGGGAGGCTTTGTGCCTGGTTAGGGCACCCTGGCAGTGGGAAGAGGAGAACCAGACTTTAGTTTTGGCTCTGCCATTTCTGAGCTCAACGTGGGGAAAGTCACTCCCTCGCCTCCAGCAGGGCAGTACACATGAATTATGGGACATGTGGGGACAGTGTGGATTCCAGTGTGACCCAGTGACTTCAAGGCCACACAGGAATAATCTAGAACCCACCAGGAATTCTGACCGAAAGGCTCTTCCAGGGAGCCCTGCTGGGAGGGGAACAATCCAGGTCCAGTGGTGCCAACGCCCACCTCTGTCTGATCCACAGATCCAGTGAGAGATTTCCACCCGGGCACTAGCATCTTCTCCGGGACCCCTCTCGGGGGCTGGCTGCTGGCCCACGGGGTGGGGTTTGTAGTCACCCTGACCTCTAAGCATTGGCTGAGGACTTTCTTCCTCAGTGGCTTTCACTGCGGCTTGGGGCTCTGCCTCCTGTGTGGAAGGTGCAGCAGCCCTGCTATACCTGATAGTCAAAGGTCCCCGGCTGCTCTCGAAGGTCTTTGGGGGCCCGAAGGTCCTCTAGGCTCTTGGCCTGCCCTAGCGGCTGCAAGGGAGCCTCCATGTCCAGGCCACTGAAGACGTCCTCCAGGAGGTCGATGCTGGCAGCCCGGTCAGGGGGGGTGGGGACAGGGGCCCTGGGCTCCTGTGATGGCTGCTTGGGACTCTCTGCCTCATCACCTTCTGCGCTGTCTGACTCCTTGAGTGTCCGATATGGTTGTGGCCTGGGAGGAGACAAAGCAGGCTGGATTTTCCCATCCAAGGAGTCTGGGGGGGAACAGGTGGGCCCCGGAGACCATGCCTGGGAGCCCCAGGACTGGAGAGTGTCCTGGGGCTCCTGTGAGGGCTGGAGCCTGGGCAGCAGCCAAGCACTCTGACATAGCGGGGCCGAAGCTGGTTCAGCGCTTGCTCTGGGACCTGGGCGAGTCACACTGGTTAACGGAGCCCACGTAGTTCCCTCAGAACCATGTCTTTTCATACAACTGCTGGGAATAGCACAGGACCAGAAGGGAGATGGATGGGGGGCAGATACGCCCCTGTTCCCACCCTGCTCTGCCATTTGGTAACTGCCAAGTAGCCAGAGTCAGGTGTGAACTGCTGGTGGGGAGCTGAGCTGGAGAACCCTCCAGGGGGCAGCTGACCGGCCTGTCCCAGGATCCTCTGGGGCCCCTGTGGCCTCAGCTTGCACTGACCTTGGTCGTAGCCCTGGCCGGGGTGTCTCTGCTGTAGGAACTTGGGCAAGTCACTCAACATCTCTGAGCCTCAGCTGCTTAGGAGGTTGTGTTGACCAAATGAGCCAGGTCAGGGCCTGGCGTGCCACAGGCAGGCTGAAGCTGGTGACAGTAGCAGAACCCACCAGCAGGTGTGGCTACCATGTGGGCCCTATGCTGCCCACTTTCTGTACGTTTCCACATCAGGACCTTGCGTGGGAGCCAGAGTTAGGTAACAGGGTACCCAGGCCCCGCTGGCTACCCGGGGAGGCTGTGCCCAGGTGAACCTGACCTTTAGTGGTGCCCAGGCCAGTGCAGCTTACTCCTCTGCCAGGCAGGGGCCGGCCTGAGGGGGAGTAACAACGGTGCTCTTTGGTGTTGGTAAAGTGGAGGAGAGGCGCCACCTGCTGGCCATAGGCAGGCTCACACTGAAGGTATAGGCCAGCGGCAGGAGGGGAGGGGACTCCATCAGATCAGTCTCCCCCAGCAATGCCAGCTCCCAGGAAGCAGGGGCTGCGCCCCACCTTACATGTGAGGGAACGGAAGCTCAGTGACATAAAGTGACTCACAGCATCTGATAAGAGGTGGAAATGGAAGCCAAGTTTGGGAGACTCCAAAAGTCCGTCCCTCACTCTGAAGACCAAGTGCTCTGACCAAGAAATTGAAGATCCTTTACTCAAGCGTCACCACAAAGGAATATAGGAAAGCCAGGAAATAGTGTTCTTTTTTAAACCCTTTTTCTGTTGAGTTAGGATGGGTGTTTCTTTTTAAACACACATACAAAGGCCCATACTGAGCATACAAAAGCAGGGCCTTGGACCTGCCCTTCTGGGTTATGGGGAGAGGCTGTGGGCATCCCCCAAACAGGCTGCCTCTCCCTGCAAGGTGATTTTTTTTTTTTTTTTTTTTTTTTTGGTATTGGGGATCGAACTCAGGACCTTGCACCCTGCAAAGCAGGCATGGTACCACTGTGCTAAATCCCCGGCCCAGATGGATGTTTCTTATTCCGGGCATCTATCTTTGCTCTAATTAGAAATAACGGCTAACACATAAGTCTGCGATATTATAAAGACTATTGCCTATGGCAAGGCTAATTTTGAAAACACTGAAGAAACACTTGAAGATTAATGCACAGAAAGGTGGCCTGTGAAGCTGGGCTGACCAGACTCAGGCTGTGGGCAATGGGAAGGGTCAGCCTGCCTATGGCCACAGGGGAGCTGAGGCAGAGAAGGGCTGGGATGCTCCCCCCTCAGGGCGGGTGCAGCGCCCTAAAGAATCTGCAGCACTTGGGGAGGTCTGTGGGGTCTGGGGGTGGATGAAGACACCCCTTTCTGTGAAATGCCAACAGTTTACTCTCTGGAAGGCTGCAGTGCTCTGGGCACTTGGCAAAGGGCTCTGGATACAAACATCAGTATGAATTTTCAAAGAAAAAAGAAACCAAAGCTGTCTCTGTGTTCAGTCACAGCTCTGAAAAACTTGTAGGTGGAGGAATGGAGACACTATGGAAGATTAATTTGGGGGTGGGTGGCTGAACCACTTTTTTCTTTTTACAAAAAGTGAACTTTTAAAAAATAGCTTTTTGAGCTGGGTGTGGTAATGCATACCTATAATTCCAGCACTCTGGGAGGCTGAGGCAGGAGGACTGTGAGTTCAAGTTTGGCCTGGGCAATTTAATGAGACTCTCTTTTTGGGGATGTAATTCAATGTGAAGGCCCTCAGTTCAATACCTAGTAATGAGGAGGGGGAAAAAAAAAGAATTGCTGTTTGTAGCCAGGCATGGTAGTACATACCTGTAATCCCAGCACTCTGGGAGGCTGAGGCAGGAGCATGTCACGTTTGAGCCCAGCCTGGGCAAATAAGCAACTTAGCAAATAAGCAAGACTCTGTCTCAGAATAAAATAAATTAAAAAACAAAAAATAAAAAAGGGTTGGAGATGTAGCTCAGCACAAAGACAGAAATCAGACAGATCAGAACATTTAGATATGCTATACTAATTAATATATACATTCCATTTGGCATGGTGATGCACACCTGCAATCCCAGCTACTCAGAGGCTGAGGTGGGAGGATCAGAAGTTTGAGTTTAGCTGGATAATTTAGTGAGACCCTGTCTCAAAACAACAACAACAACAACAACAACAACAACAACAACAACAACAACAACGGTCAGGGGATGTAGCTCACTGGTAAAGTGCTTGCCTAGCATGCTTAAGGGCCTGGGTTCAATTCCTACTATATCAGAACAACAAAATTAAAACCCCTTCATTTTCTTTTTAATTTAAAATCTGACTTCCATCTCCACGGCTTTCCATGCTGTGACAGATAAAGGAGGACACAGGCACCAACAACCAGGATCCTCATAGCCACCAGTTCCGTTAACGATTGAGTTCGCTCCCCTGACAGGGACAGGGGACCGGCGCTCCTGCCTGAGCCTGAGAGGAGGAGCCACGGGGGTACACGCGCCCCAGACACCCTCCCTGCACACAGGAGCAAGCAGCACCAGCCCCACGCCCCATGCGGCCCGAGTGTCACCACGAAGAAGGAAGGGGAGACCATTCAAAGGGAGTGGAGAAGAAAAAGCTTTCGGTGAAGCCAGCGCTCGGGGCCTCTTCCCGCTGACATTCATCGTCAGACGAGTCTTCGGAGAGGAAGACCGCATAGTGTCGCAAGGGCTTTACCAGGCTGGGGTGGAGGAAGACAAGAGAGGAGAGAACAGGCAGTTAGGGCACCGGCAGGACTCCATGTGCAGGGAAGGCCAGAGGGCACCACGGTGAGCAGAAAGGAAACCGGCTGCCATCTCTGTCAAGAGCCCCGAGCTCGTGACGCAGGCACCTATGACCTAGGAACTCTCCTTCCACTAGCAAACCCTAAATACAGCAGAGAATCTTGGCCAGCGATGCTCACCACCGCTCTGTGTATAACATCACAGCATGAAACCGGGGCTGGGGGTGTAGCTCAGCAGTAGAGTGCTTGCCTCTCGTGTGCGAGGCCTGGGTGGCATCCCCAGGACTGCTAAATAAGCAAACAAAGTGAGCCTATAAATGTAAAACACAAAACAAAACAAACCAGTCACTCAACTTTCGGTAACAGGGATCTGGCACAATCGGCTGAATGTTCCCCTCCCACTAAACATAACGTTTGTGAAGAAAAATTTAGACGTCAGGATGCAGAACTGCAACGTTTGCAGCTGGCTCTCCGTATCTGTAGGTCCCAATCAGTTGTGGGTTGAAAATATCTGGAAAAAGAAGCTGCATCAGTACTATCTCCAGACTTTGCCCCTAGCTGTTATATTATTTCCTAAACAATGTAGTGTGACAGCTATTTACAAAGCATTTACACTGGGTTGGAAATAATAAGCAATCGAGAGATGATGCGAAGCCCACGGGGGGCATTGCACGGAGCCTGGGTGAATAAATACCCCGTTGGCGTTGGCGACAGGGGCTTGCGCATCCGTGGTCGGCGCTCCCTGGTGCCAGACCTCTGAGGACACTGAGGGAAAGCTCCCTCCCGTCATGGGTAGAAGAATGCACAGAGAAGTCACCCAAAGGCAGGCGCCTAAATGTCAGTAATACCTAGTGAGATTACGGGTGACTGCCCTCACCTGCTTCTTTTTATTTTTCTACAATGAGCATATCTACTTGAATAATCGGAAAAAAGTAAAAAGAAAAAAAGAAGAAAAAAGTGAGCCACGTGGAAGAACCCTCAAGAGAAGGCCCTTTTCTGATTAGCGGCCGCTTTCTGGAGTTTCCCTTGGATGCTTCTTCAGAGAGTCTTTTTCATCTGTGATGTGGAAATTAAATATTCATTGTTATAAAAAATACATCTCCCTTGTCAGCCACCTGTGAGCTCTGCCTCTATAAACAAACACATACAAGGTCCAGAAAACCCCACGCCCGGCTCCTATGAATTATATACTGACCAGGGCCTGCAACAGGCCACGGGCTCGGAGAGGGATCAGATCCTGCTGGTGCCAGGCAGCGGGTGTCCATGCCTTCACCTCACTAAGTGGGCTGCGCAGGAGGACACGGCCGGGGGGACAGGTGGGGCACAGAAGGGACACAGCTGCCCCCAGGAGAGGGAGAGGGCACGGGGCTAGGCTGTGACCTGCTGTCACTGCTGCTGACCTGGCGCTGGCTCCCACAGCACCTCAGCGTTGGTGCTGTCACACCGGTGTCCTCCTTTCCTCCCACTGTCCCTGCGGGCTGGCCAGGCAGTTTGTTCTCAAAATGAAGAGGAGGTGCAGGCTTCACAGGGAAACAGCTAGTCGAGGCCCTCCTCACCTCCATGGCTGCTGGGGACCAGACACAGCTTAGCCCTTCCTGGACTAGAGAGCCACAGGCCCAGGGTGGGTGCGTCCCTCTGTCTCAGCGCAAGTTAGGACCATACCTGGCCAGCCTCAGGGCAAGGCCTGGCCCTTGCTGCTTCCACAGCAAAGCAGGTGGTCTCTGCACAGCTACCAGAACTTGTTCTGAATGACAAACCTGGCCCTGTCCCTCTTAAAATCTGCAGTACTCTCAATTGTGATTTTGCTGCAGCCGCTGTATGGTGAGTGAAGCCAGAGTGAACGTGAGGAGGAAGCACGTTCAGACTTGCGGGATGAGCTCTCTGTTTAAAGTGGGGTGGGCACTGTCACTCTCCGGCAAGGGACTACACCTGTGCAGGGGAGGGGCGCGGACAGCGCGTGGGCAGGCCGGCTGCTGGGGGCGGGAGAGGACTGCTCCAGGCTGCAGCACTGCCTGGGCCTCGACCTATACCTGTGCCACCTTCCCTGCTCCCCTACACTTCAGCGGTCAGGTACACAGGGCAGGTGGGAGCTTTGGGAAGGGGTCCAAACACATCCACAAGCAGGTGCTGCACCGGTGCTCTGCATATGCTGTCCCACCCCTCCACCAGCCTAGTGGGAAAGACTCACTGACTAGCTCTGGAGGCCTTCATGAGTCCACCCATCCACGCACCCACCCCGGCCTCCACCGGTGCACACCACCAAGCCACACTACTCACCTCACGGTGAGCAGACCTGGACGGGGTGAGCACTGGGGTCATGGGAGAGACAGAGAAGTGACCCAGTGGCATGGCCGGAAGTGACAGATGGATTCCAGCCCAGGATGTCCACCCCTAAAGCCCTTACTTTCCTGTCAGGGGGAATAGCAGTGGGTGGATATGAGGGAGACGCCAGCCCCACGCAGGCCAATAGAAGGAGGCTCCCGGTGGTCCTCAGATCCACGATGGATGCCTTTCTGATGCCCCCCTAAGTGCAGTCCCCTCTTCTAGCTTTGACGAGGAAGCACAGATCACAGCTTGCATGTTAGCTGAATGCCACTAAACTTGCCAGGAATTTCTGGATTCACAGAAGAGCAAAGGGACTTTGTGCAGGACCGCAAAGCCCCTGGCTTCATTAGGCTGCTGAGGTGCAGGCTGCGTCAAAACCCAGGGCATCCTGCACTGTGTGACCAAGCAGGGGTGGGGTTGGGGTCAGGGATGAGGGAGGAGAGGAAGCCTCACTTTCCAGCCCACAAACCAAGTTCTGCCTCCAGCTGGTTTTCCCAGCCAGGCTAAGCTGGTCGGGCAGTGGCTTCAACAAGAGCCTGAGGGTGTCTCCCGAGAAATGGGGAACAGGGAGGGGCGAAACTTGCCACACGATCTGGTCAGATCACAGCACTTCATGTCCATGCCACATACATGATGAACTAGAAGAACTTCCAAGCATCGGGCCAACGCCATACAATTCCTCACTAATTCCTCGTGCCAGACAAAGAAGCTAGGACTCAGACAGGAGGGGTCCCTTGCCTGGGGTCACACGACAGCCGAAAGCAGAGCGAGGCACTGAATGTGGATTTGCCTGAGTAAACCACCGTGGGATCCTGCTTTTTCAGTTTTCCGGATCTGAAACAATGAAAGGAGAGGTAGGGTGTTTCCCCTTCCACTTTTAATGAAAGGTGAGATTTCCAAATAAACTTATTTAAATTCAGCTGCTCATGTTCGCCCATGAAACATATAGTCAGATATTTGTCAGAGATAAAGGATGAACCATCGAAAACGTCCAGGTTTAAATTTTTTATTAGCTTAAGGCAGAATACGGGGAAAAAAATGTACCTCTTCCCTCATTAACCCAATTCAGCTACTACCCTGCAGTCTGCCACCCACCACTTGCCTGGATTTTATTACACACAAAGGGCTGTCTTCGAAAAGGCAGGTCGCGGCGAACCTGGCTACCCAGTGAGGGCTGCAGCTGTCTCAGTGCGAAAGAAAGGCTCGCTGTCCATCACGGCTCGGACGCCATCCCCGCGGCTGCCCCCGCCTGCCCGCCGAGCTCCACGCGGAGTTCCCATGCAGATGACTCCTGAGCCCTTTCTAATGTTTGGTTTAACGTGTCGCCGGTTAGCGCGTGCATGTGACAGTGGTGACAGGCGAGGCTGTTCCTTTTTAAATACCATGTCAGAGACAGGGCGTCAGGAAGCGGGGACGTGCTCTGTGCTCTCTGCCGTGCCAGGACCGCACCGGCTTATTTTTTAATGAGGAAGATCTGCATCTCGAGAGTTTTTTTCATGTGTCACATCGCGTGGACAAATCAGCAGCACGTCACGCTGGCCCAAAATGAAATGCTGACAAATGTAGATATTTCAAATTTAATTGACATTTAAATGTACTTGAGATAAAGATGGGAAATCAGCCAGGACTCGGTCTCCCGAGGTAATGAAGGGGAGGTGGTGATCATTTTTTAAAGGATCATTTCGCTCCAGCACAAAGGGTCTTCACTTGGTAAACGGCTTGGTCACACAGTGTCCCTCAGAGATGTGTCTCACAGGGGTGATAAGCAGCGAGAGGCCCCAGGACGAGTGCAGGTCCTGCCTGCCCGAGTGATGCCAGTCTGTTCATCTTTACCTTCCCCCTCTTCCTATCCAGAGCACTTGGAAAAGTTACTTTACCTCCCTGGACCTCAACTTCTCTGTAAAACAGAGCTTCCACAGCCCTCTTGAAAGGCTTCTTATAACAGTTAAAATGAAAATATTTGCAAAGGACTTTGCACAGCGCGTAGTGCATTGTGAACAAGCACTCATTAATCACATGCCTCATTCACCTGACAACCAAGAGACCCAGGCGTTTGCGTCCTGTGCAGGGCTGTCCCTGGATGCTGAGGATAAGGAAGGTGGTCCCTGCCTGTCAGGGTGAGGGGCCCTCAGCTGGGGACATGTTAGCATGTGGAAATCACCGAGACCCTTACTTGGCTTCTCTCCGTGGCCAGGACACAGAGGCAGTGCTCCAGACCACACCTTAGCAGTGGGTTAAAATCTAGAGAAAGATTCTGGAGCAAGACTGAGGGTCTCAGGGAACCTGCATGGCTCAGGACTCTGAGAAAGCTAGACCTAGACTGGGGCCCACTGCTGAGTGGCCCAGTGAAGAAGCCAGGGTCACTGCAGTGAGGGAGAGGAGCTGGAGGCCGACGTGGAACGGCGCGCAGACCTCTGCACTCTGCTGTGTGAGCACCCACTGAACGGAGAGCAGAACACCCAAGCTATTACAAGTCGTCATCAGAACGAGTGGGTCTTCTGCTGTCAGCACTGACGTAGTGGCCACGGGTGAGTGTGGGAGGCCAGGTCGCTCCAGCTCTGTACTAGGGGACAGTGTGTGTGGGGGGGTCCCTGGCTCAGGGCTCTAGGCCAAGGCTCTCTGAGAGGTAATGT